TCTATTGCCTAGGCTGCAGTGCAGTGGTGCTATCTTGGCTCACTGCAGCCTCCACCTCTAGGTTCAAGCGATTCTCCTGCCTCAGCCTCCCAAGTAGCTGGGATTACAGGCGTGTACCACCATGCCCAGCTAATAATTTTTGTATTTTTAGTAGAGACGGAGTTGGCCAGGCTGATCTCAAACTCCCAACCTCAGGTGATCCACCCACCTTAGCCTTCCAGAGTGCTGAGATTATAGGTGTGAGCCACCGTGGCCAGCCACAAGTACATACTTCTTAGAAAAATGAATATTAGAAGAGATTTTCTTATAGGAAGTAGAAATTAAGAGTGTTCAGTCTCACTGACAAGTATTACCATGTGTTCTACTGCATAGCATCTTGTATAGACAATTTATTTATATTTTTGCAGTGCTGCGTAATTATGTAATAGTGCTATAGTTGATGAAGGAGGAGTAGAAGAAGTGTAGAAGCAGGAAAGAAGCATCTGCATGATAATAATGCTGGAGATGGTGGATCTCCTTCCCCACATTGCTAGAATCTGCAATAGAATCTCCTGTAGGCCTTTCTTCACTTTAAAGCCCCAAACAGCAGGTCAGCATTCATACAGTGGTTATTTCACCTGATGTACTTGTGCACATACAGCCGTGCAAAATGAAAAATGTAGATGAATATGTGGCCAAGGTTTGATTTTTGATAATGGAGACTTCCATAATGAAGAAGGGATATTATACCCTTTGTTGATACCCAGCTGCTGCACGTTATAGCCAGTAATGGAGATAGCAGTTGTAGATTATTGGAGGCCATTTTCTTCAACTGGTGGGTATGTTAGTAAATGCTGGACCACTATGAAAAGTAAACATAACAAACTTAAAACTGTATGTAAAAATATATTAGAAGAACTATGTTACAGATACAATCTGTAGAAAAAATGAATATTAATGCCCATATTTGAATGAAAGGTATAGTTGAGTTATTTTTATTTGTTTTGTTTCATTAACTATAGTAGAGTTTTTGGGGATATGTGTGGGAAATGTGGTTTTAAAAATTAAATAATTGCAAAAACATTTATTGTATTTGGTACCATTTATTGAAAAAATACTTTTAAAAGTGCTTTTTAGTGTAAAGAGATTATATTGATGTTCTTGCCTTTGAAAAAATAAGTCTCTTTAGTGTGGTTAGGAATACTAGTTTTCCTTATTTTATTCAGACAGATGTTGATCATACAGGTAAAATCTTGTGAATGTAAGCTTTGTAGAGTTTAATAGGGTGACAGAACCCTATTTTTATATTTTACTTGTGGACCTCAGTTTTTTTTGTTTGTTTTATTTTGTTTTTGAGACGGGATATCACTGTTGCCCTAAAGTGCAGTGGTGTGATCTTGGCTCACTGCAACCACCACTTCCCAGGCTCAAGCTGTCCTTCCACCTCAGTCTCCTGAGTAGCTGAGACTACAGGCATGAGCCATCACACCTGGCTAATTTTTGTATTTTTTGTAGAGACAGGGTTTTGCCATGTTGTCCAGGCTGGTCTCGAATTCCTGAGCTCATGTGATCCACCTGCCTTGGCCCCCCAGAGTGATGGGATTACAGGCATGAGCCACCACTCCTGGCTAAACCTTAGTTTCTAAAAGTGGAAATACTACTTTGTAGAGCTATTTGAAGGATTAAATGAATCAGTTGTTAAAAGTATCTACTGGAGAGCCTTATACAGAGTAGTCAGTCAGTTATTTCTTAAACAAATTTAAAATATAATATGCTTGAAATACTGAAGTACCAGAATAATTTGGGTAAGCTAAGTTTTGCTATTTGCATTGACATAGAACTTGGTTGTTATTTTTTGCTTTTTTTTTTTTCTTTGATTTTAACAGTGTTGGATGATGAAGATAGCAACAATATCACAGTAGGATCCTTAGTTACAGTGTTGGTTAAGTTGACAAGGCAAACAATGGCTGTAAGTAGTCTATCTGTATTTTTATGCTTCAAGAGTTCTGTATCAAAGCTTTTATATTTTATTTCTCTCATTCTCAAAGTCAAAACTGTTGTAATACCAAGAATTTTGCAGTTTCTGTTAACTCTTTTAAAATTTTAAATTAATTTTTATGAAACAGTTTTCACATACACTAAAAAAACCTGGAAAAATAATCCTTTGTGTGATAGTTCAATTCTCTGTAAAATGTAACCACAACAAAGTAATGTGGATATAGCTTTTTTTTTTTTTTTTTTGAGATGGAGTCTAGCCCCGTTGCCCAGGCTAGAGTGCAGTGGCATGATCTTGGCTCCCTGCAACTTCCACCTCCCAAGTTTAAGCGATTCTCCTGCCTCAGCCTCCTGAGTAGCTGGGATTACAGGCACCCGCCACTATGCCTAGATAATTTTTGTATTTTTAGTAGAGACGGGTTTCACTGTGTTGGCCAGGCTAGTCTTGAACTCCTGACCTTGTGATCCGCCCACTTTGGCCTCCCAAAGTTCTGGGATTACAATGGTGAGCCACCGTGCCTGGTCATTGTTATAGTTCTTAAGCTATGAGGTGCTATACAGAAGTTGTTACTGATGAGAATTTTATCACCTATTCCTTTTTAGTCAGTTCTATAGATAATTGACTTTTATTTTTTATTTCAAAATTTAAGAATTACAAACAAAATAACTTTCTTTTTCCTGATAATGTGAAAAATTTATGATGTCTGGAAAAAATTTAAGCAATGCACAAAAGTATAGGAAGAAATTAAAATTACCTAAAATCCCACGATTTTGAGATGATTCCTTTTGAGGCTTATTCTGTATGTAGCCTAATAGCATGTATACCTGTAGAACTAAATGATGTTGTTGTCATGGATCCCTTCTCTCCCTCATATTCGTTTCTTTTTGTTTGTTTGTTTTGGAGACAGAGTTTAATTCTTGTTTCCCAGGCTGGAGTGCAATGGCATGATCTTGGCTCACTGCAGCCTCCACCTCCTGGGTTCAAGCAATTTTCCTGCCTCAGCCTCCCGAGTAGCTGGGATGACAGGCATGTGACACCATGCCTGACTAATTTTTGTGTTTTTAGTAGACACAGGGTTTCACCATGTTGACCAGGCTGGTTTCGAACCCCTGACCTTGGGTGATCCACCTGCCTCAGCCTCGAAACACCTGGGATTACAGGTGTGAGCTACTGTGCCCTGCCCCTCTGTTTCATTTTCTTTAAGAAAACCCCTTCTCAGCCTCAGGTGAACAGAATGCGTGATCTTGTTGTGTATCTTCTCCTGTCTTTCTTCATGCTCATATTTACCATCTGGATCTTTACAGTGCATATGTGCATATATGCACTTAAATGTAGGTTGGTACTTGTCTCATGCTTTTGTGTTTAATCCAGTACAATCATTTTGCCTATATTTCCTTTTTCTTTTCTTTTCTTTTTTCTTTCTTTTCTTCTTTTCTTTTCTGAGATGGAGTCTAGCTCTGTTGCCCAGGCTGGAGTGCAGTGGCTCAATCTTGGCTCACTGCAATCTCTGCCTCCCAGGTTCGAGGAATTCTCCTGCCTCAGCCTCCCAAGTCGCTGGGATTATAGGCACACACTACCATGCCCAGCTAATTTTTGTATTTTTAATAGAGATGGGGTTTCAAAATTTGGCCAGGCTGGCCTGAACTCGTGACCTCAGGTGATCCATCCACCTCGGTCTCCCAAAGTGCTGGGGTTACAGGCATGAGCCACTGAGCCTGGCTTGTTTAATTTTTTTTGTTGAAACACGGTCTCACTGTGCCACCCAGGCTTGAGTGCAGTGACGTCTCGGCTCACTGCAGCATCTGCCTCCTAGGCTCAAACCATTCTCTCACCTCAGCCTCCTGAGTAGCTGGGACCACAGGTGTGCACCACCACATCCAGCTAATTTTTTGTATTTTTAGTAGAGATGGGTTTTGCCATGTTGTCCACGCTTATCTTGAACTCCTGGCCTTAAGTGATACGCCCGCCTCAGCCTCCCAAAGTGCTGAGATTACAGGAATGAGCCACTGTACCTGGCCTAATTACTGTAATTATTTAATAGAGATGGGGGTCTCTGTAGGTTGCCCAGCTGGTCTTGAACTTCTAGGCTCAAGGGATCCTCCTGCCTTGGCCTCTCAAACTGCTGGAATTATAGGTGTGAGCCACCATGCCTGGCTCTGTTTCTATTACATTTTCTCCTGAGTCAGCTGGTAGAGACTGTAGTATTTTGATGCAATTTATTCAACTAGTGGTAGATTTCAGCCTCTTGCTCTGAGGTCTTCAAGCATCTGCCAGAAATATATGCTACATTTATATCCCGTGCCTAAAACTACTGGTAGGAAAGTCATATGTATTTTTTTCTTGTAGAGATGGGGGTCTCACTGTGTTGGCCAGGTTGGTCTGGAACTTCTGACCTCAAGTGATCCTCCCATCTCAGCCCACCCCCCTCATCTCATCTGTTGGGATTACAGATGTGAACTACCAAGCATGACCTGAAAATCTTATTTTGTAGTAGGATATATTGAATCAAAGATGTTGGTTTTATTATAGCAAGTGATAAGGAAGCATTTGTTGTGGACTGTGAGTGAGAGAGGTACCTTCTGGGAGAATATGAACTGAAACCAATGCTAGAATTGGGTTTAGAATCCAAATCTAGACTACCCGTATCCTTTGGACTTCCCAGACTGGAAAATGAGCAAAAATTTGATCTTGAGCTATTGACATTTCTGGAGTGATTGGTAGAAAAAAGAATGGAACTGCTCTGGAATAAAGAAAAGAATCAGGCCGGGTGCGGTGGCTCAAGCCTGTAATCCCAGCACTTTGGGAGGCCGAGATGGGTGGATCACGAGGTCAAGAGATCGAGACCATCCTGGTCAACATGGTGAAACCCCGTCTCTACTAAAAATACAAAAAATTAGCTGGGCATGGTGGCGCGTGCCTGTAATCCCAGCTACTGAGGAGGCTGAGGCAGGAGAATTGCCTGAACCCAGGAGGCGGAGGTTGCGGTGAGACGAGATCACGCCATTGCATTCCAGCCTGGGCAACAAGAGTGAAACTCCGTCTCAAAAAAAAAAAAAAAAAGAAAAGAATCGTTTTTAATCTTCCCATTCTTGCATGGACTGTACATTGGAGTAATCGAGAATCAGAACCCAGCTAATAAGTGAAAGGAGGAAATTATAGAATTAGACTAGGGATTAGGAACCTTTTTCTTTAAAGGTCCAGATAGTAAATATTTTAGGTTTTATAAATCATACAATGTTTGTAGCAACTACTGAACTTACAAATGGGTGTGGTCATGTTGCAGAAAAGCTTTGATTTTGAAAGTAGGTGGCAGGGCAGGTAGTGGCACAGCTACTTGGGAAGCTGAGGTGGGAGGATCCTTTGAGCTGAGGAGTTCAAGACCAACCTGGCTAGGATAATGAGCCCGCTGTCTTAAAAAAAAAAAAAAAAAAAAGGCAAGTGGTATGGACCATTCAGAGTTGACTCCTGAATTAGGCTCTCTTTATTGTATAGAGCCTAACAATTATAACTGTTTTTACTTGTTAGCTTTAATAATCCTAGGGAGTTTATTAAACATAGCCTATATGTCATCTTTTAATATAGATGCTTACTGGGATTTAAATCCTAAATTTATAGATTCTGTACTGATTCTAAATGAATTAAACAGTTGGTGGTGGATATAGCTTTAGGATATGTAGATTTTCTTGGTGATTTTTTTTTTTTTTTTTTTTAATAGATGTGGGGTGTCGCTATGTTGCCCATGTTAGTCTCAAACTCCTGGGCTCAAGTGATCCTCCTGCTTTGGCCTCCCAAAGTGCTGAGATCATAGGCATGAGCCACTGTGCCCCACCTGTGAGGATTCAGTTCTTAGTCGCAGGTCCAATGAACAGTATCACTGACAATAGTGAATAAACTAATACAAGTCTCAGTGTTTTGTTGTTGTTGTTATTTCGCATATCACACTGACATATTGTCAAGGTTTTAATGCAGAAAATAATGTAATGTACTCATAACATTAAAATATTCATGTTTACTTGCTATTAGAATAAAAGTGAAACTTTAAACAAATACTTTTACTGTATGTATCCTTATTGCATTTGTAAATTAGAGTAGACCGTACTTTTCAAAACATGTTTAAGACAGATGTGAGATACTTTAGAAGGTATCTGCCTGCATATGCACACATTCATAAGCTAGCAATTACTAAATGTCTCCTCATCCTTCCTCAATTGTAGCCAGTTAAAAATACTTACTAAAGTACATTTCGAAAGATTGCTTTGTTTGTCTGAATGATAAGTATAGGTTGACAGATGTTGTATTTCTCTTCTTGCTACCCCCAGGAAGTATTTGAAAAGGAGCAGTCCATCTGTGCTGCAGAGGAACAGCCAGCAGAAGATGGGGTAAAAACTTGGGTTTTCTGAACCTACCTTTCCTAATGAGAGAAATATTTTATTTACTTCTCCAATTGGAAGAGTAATTCAGTTTAGCTATTTGACCTTCAATTGAATCTATTGCTATAACTTATGAGTATGACGTGTTATGATTCACAGCAGACTGAAGCTAACAAGAACAGGACAAAAGGAGGATGGCAACAGAAGAGTAAAGGACCCAAGAAAACTACTAAATCAAAAAAAAAGAAACCTTTAAAAAAAAAACCTACACCTGTGCCATTACCACAGTCAAAGCAACAGAAACAAAAGCAGGCAAATGGGGTTGTCGGGAATGTAAGTTTATTATTATTGTTATCATTATTGACCTAAAATATGCATACACTAAAATATTCAAGTCTTATGTGTACAGCTTCAAAAGTTTTACATAGTTATACACCTATAATACCCTAGAAAGCTCCCTTGTGCCCCTCTCAGTAAATGAGCCCTCCACCCATCTTCCCATCCCTCCACCTCCCACATTTCTGTCTGTAATCACCATAGATTAGCTTTGCCTCTTCTTAAAGGTTATATAAGTGTAATATTTTATGTATGGCTGCTTTCATTCAGCATTATTTCCATGGTAATCCCTCTGTATTGTTTGTAGCAGTAGTTCATTCTCTTTCTCTCTCTCTCTTTCTGTGTGTGTGTGTGTGTGTGTGTGTGTGTGTGTAGTATTTCATTATTTGAATATACCACATTTATCTGTTCTGTGGTTGTTGGACATTTGGGTTGTTTGTAGTTCCTACCTAATATGAATAAAGGATGCTATGCTTATTCTTATGTATGGCATTTTTGTGGATAGTCATTCTCCACCTAGCAGTGGAATTGCTGGGTTATAAAATAGGTGCATGCTTAACTCATTAAAAGAGCGTGTTTTCCAAAGTTACACCATTTTGTGCTCCTACCTACAATGTCTGAGAGTCTTTTGTTCTACATACTCACCAATACTTGGTTTTACCAGTCTTTTCTTTTAACCATTTGGTAGATCTGTAATGATAACTCTTTGTATCATTTTTATTTGTATTTACCTGATGGCTAATGATGTTGAACACCTTTTCATGTGCCTGCTGGGCATTTGGATAACTTCTTTTTCTACTGGGTTGTTTGTCTTCTACTAAATTTGTAGGAATTCTGTATATATTCTAGATAGGAGTCCTTATGTTTTTACTCTCATAATGGTAGATTTTAGTGGTTCTTATTGAGGTCAATTTCATTAGTCTCTTCATCAGTGAGGTCATCTTTCATCAATGGCTAATGATTCTATGTCTTAAAAACTAAGACATCCTGCCTGCTCCAAGATCATGGTGGTATTTTTCTCTTTTCTTCTGAAAACATTATTATGTTATTTGATAAACCTATCTTGAATTAACTTTTCATGAATGGAACAAGGTAGGGGATATGAACCACTTACTCCAGCACCGTTCATTGAAAAGGTCACTCTTTCCTCAGTTAATTGTAATGGCACTTAGTTGTAAAACAGAAGATACTCTATATGATGTGTAGGTCTGTTTATGGACTCTCTAGTTCATTCTATTGATATTTGCCTATTCTTATGCCAGTGCCATACAGTTTTAATTATTGTAGCTTTATGTTAAGTCTTAAAATACGGTAATGTAAGTACTCCAACTCTTTATTTTACTGATTAAAATTTTCTTAACTACTTTAATTCCTTTACGTTTCCTGCCAATTTTTGGAATAAACTTAATGATTCCCACCCCTCCCCCCCCAAAAAAAACCAAAAGCTGCTGAAATTCACATTGGTATTCCATTGACTCCATGGTTCAATCTGGGGAGAATTGACATGTTAACATTACTGAGTCTTGTTATTCATGATTGTGGTTTATCTTAATTAATTTGGATCTTCCCTAATTTTTCTCAGCAGTGTTTTGTAATTTCCAGTGACAGAGGTATGGCACATCTTTTGTTAGATTTACTCCTGTGTATTTGATGCTTTCTGTTATTACTGTAAATGACATTAAAATTTTTATTATTCAGTGTTTGTTGGTGGTGTATAGAACTAGTTGTTTCTAAATATGACCTTATATCAAGGAGTCTTAATGAATTGCCAATGATTCTAACCATTTGTAGATATTTTAATAAAGATTTTCTGCATATACAATATTGCCATCTGTGAATAAAGACAGTTTTACTTTTTTCTTATTTAATCTTTATGCCCTTTCTTTCTTCCTTCTGTCTCACTGTGCTGGCTAGAACTTTCAGTGTAATGTTGATTCAGAGTGATGACGGTAGAAACCTTCTCTTCTTTTTGGTCTTAGGAAGAAGCATATATTATTTTACTACTAAATGTGATGTTAGGTGTAAGCGTTTTGTAACTATTCTTTGTCAGGTTAAGGAACTGTTGTCCTTGTATTTCCAGTTTGCTGAGAATTTTCATCACGAGCAGATAGTGAATTTTATTAAAGGGTTTTTTTTTTGTTTTTTTCTTTTACTTTTTTCTTTTCTGTTGAATTAGATTGATGGATTTAAAAAATTTGGAACCATCCTTGCATTCCTGGAACAAATATCATTTGGTCATATCTTAGTATCCTTTTTTATATTTATCTGGATTTGATAATAGTTTCTTCGGATTCTTACATCTATTTTGAAGAGCAAGTATTGGTTTGTCTTTTTTGTAATATCTTTGTCAGGTTTTGTGTCAGATTTATGCTGGTATTGTTAATCAAGCTAGGAAGTATTTCCTTTTTTTCTCAGAAGAGTTTGTATAGGCTTGGGTTTGTTTCTTTAGTCTGTGGAATAATTCTCTAGGGAATGGAGTTTTTTAAGGGAGCTTATTTGTGGAGTTTATTTCTTTAACATATATTCTGCATTTTTCTTATTGATTTTAGCAAATTGTATTTTTTGCAAGAAATTTGTCTGTATCCTCTTAATTATTAAATTTGTTGGCGTAAAATTATTCATAATTTTAATGTCTGTTGGATATAGTTACACCTCTTTTCTTCCTAATATTGGTAATTTTTATTGTTCTTGATCATTCTTGCCTAGGGGTTTAATCAATTTTATTAACCTTTTCAAAGAACCAACTTTTGGTTTTAAGTTTCTTTTTTCTGTATCTCTTACTGCTTGCTTGCTTTCTCTTTCTATCTTTCTCTTTCTTTTCTTTCTTTCTTTTTTTCTTTCTTTCCTCT